GGTATGCCCCCTGACTCTGTCCACATCAAAACCCAGTGTCACTGTGGGATTGGAGACTGCTTCATTCACCATCAAAGATTTACAGGTAAGCCTCCTTACTCTCCCATCAAAACCCACTGTTTCCTTTGAAACGCACTATGTGATCTCAAACTACAACATTTTTACATGCATTCTATTTTATCACTGGGTGAGTGATAAACCAGCAAAAGTATAATCTAGTTTACATTCCAAAATGATAACAATATGTTTAAAATTGTTTGTTTTTTTCGATCAAAGTTAATATCAACAAAAATTAAGTATGAGGTAGCCACGTCCCAAGGAAGCCACTAACACATCGAAGACCACTGTGCTAGTTCGGTAGTGGTCTACGTGCTAACAATTTTGTCTTATAGGGAGATGTAATTCATCTGAAGTCTAAAATGGCAGATAATGTACAAAGAGGTTTGGTTTTGAGGTATGATACTGTAAACATAAAGTGGCATATGTATTGGGATGTGTCATCCTAATCATTCCTCTTGACTGAGTATTCGTATTACGTAAAATTGGAACAAAGAATATATTCAGGCAGAAATATGTTATCATAAATGTTGTTTTAATTATGGTGATTGGAACCAACATATTTACTGTGAACAGCTTTACTAAGTTTTGAAGATTTAGTTGTATCATACTATTATCATCTGCTTAGATTTTGTATACACATGTTGCTACATATAATTCGGTTTGACTGGCAATGTATTGTTACATTGCTCTTACCAGTGCATTGATACCTGTTAGAAACAGTTAACAATCCTGCGTAGTTACGCATATTATAAGTAACAGAAAAATCATTCTATATTTATATATAACAAAGCTGTGATTCAAGTTTCAATTCTGTTTAATATGAATACTCGTCTTCTTACCAAGTGCAAAGTCTGAGGTATCATTAATATACAATTTCTAATTTGTATATTTTTGAGACACTGATAAAGCACTTCTGTCTGATAACTGTCATCTTGTTAGTAAATTCCCTCCCTGGTTGTCATTTCATTACGTAGGGTGACGTATGTCATTTAAAAGCCAAGATTGGTGATAACGTCATGAGAGGTCTAGTTTTAAGGTATTGGTTCATCTCTTAAATTCCTCTGCAACTACTATACTTCTTTCTTTTAAGGATACTTATGGGTGTCTCAAAGAACAAAACTGTCTGCTTCTTACAGCAGAGAGGACCATATTTACTTCCCACATTCTTTATAGCTTCACCGCTACGTTCCTAGAAACAAATTGTGGTCACAATGTTACTGATGAACTCCATATTAAATATTGAAAGTTATTTCAAATCTTCTTTGTTGAACAAAGAGCAGCATAAGCAAATTTTTTCAGTATAAAGGCCAGTGAAAAAGAGAACATAGTACATGTATTGTTAACTCGAATCTACATGTAAGTTTGATATCACTAAATGGCAGTACATACTTCTTGACCCATGAGGGATCCCATAAGTGTCCTTGAGTTGCTTGCTATTTCAGCTTCATTTTTGTCATTTTTAGTAGTTGTGTATTTTCAATTCATTGGCATGCTTCACTCCCTTCATAATTTAGATCATTTGTGTCAGTTGTAAGTAGTTACATGTATGTTCTATGTATCAATTTTAAATATTTGATACAAGCTAAAGGTAGTTCAAAGGTGCTTGTTACGCAGTCAAATGTTTTGCAAAAATATATAATTTTGTAAACATAGTCCAGTTTTGTTTTGGAAAACTTGTAGGTGATAAAACATACATTTGTTTTGTTTGTGTTAGTAAACTATTTAAAATATGATGTGAGCTATATACTGTACTTAAAACCAATCTTTTTATTTTATTTATTCTGGTTAACTTTGGTTTAATTTCCAGGAGGGACCAAACTTGATTAATATAATTTAAGAAAATCTAATTTAAATAAAACAAATATAAAATAACATTTAATATGGAAATATCAAAAGATACATTTAAAATATTATGATCGCAACTGAAAAGTGTATTTACTTGTAAATTGTTTAGAGCACTTTAGTACTGAAGACTACAAAGCACAAAAAGTTTGGAATTATTTATTTTTCTTTGTTAATTTGTTGGCATTAAACCCACATTTCTAGTAAATCAAGATTTCTGACCCATCTCCTGAATCAAGATTTCTGACCCATCTCCTGAATCAAGATTTCTGACCCATCTCCTGATGCAAAGGCGCACTTCACAACTTTGCATTTATTCAGTAGGAAGATCAGTAATAAATAAATAAAACAGAAGTATCAATCATTTCCAGGAGGGACCAGACTTGAATAATATATTCCAAAAAACTTTAATTTTAATAAAATAAATATAAAATAACAATAAAACAGAAATATCAAGATACATTTAAAATATTATGATCGCAACTGAAAAGTGTATTTTTATACTTCAGTTCTTAAGTCTACAATGCACAAAAAGTTTGGAATAATGTATTTTTCTTTAATTTGTTGGCATTAAACTCACATTTCTAGTAAATCAAGGTAAATAAAGATTTCTGAAGTGCACTTCACAACTTTGCATTTATTCAGAAAAGTAGGAAGATCGTTATTGAATAAATGAAACAGAAGTATCAATCATTTGTGTAGTCGTACAGATATGTTTTGTCAACTGGAAGTAGTTCAATTATAAATTACAACCTGGTTATGTTTCTTAACCAGTCCAACCCATTAAAAGACAGGTTTTACGCAAGATTCTGCCCTTTTGAGACCTAAAAATACAATACCAGTTAGTTTGTGATTATCAATATGAAATAAGCATGTATTTAATTGTGAACCACTTGTTTTTTTATATCCTTAAAGACAAGAAGTACTTATACGGGTCTATAGTTGCTTTGATCAGCAGGGTCACCCCGTTTGTAGATTGGGTCAGATTCACCATTTTCTATTCCATAGGTATTTTACCTGTTCTAAGTGATAAATAATATTGTCGATGGTATACAATATACAAAACTCTAACCTTGACGAATCATGAGTTTATTTCTCCAATATTGGAATTTCTAGTTAAAAACAAAACTAGGTTTCATTATTAATATTATTGAAATTAAATTTTAGCCTTTAACACTTATCCTGCCAATGCTATGTAATTTTATTTCGAATTGATCAAATGAGGGTAAAAAAAAAAAATCTTAGGTTGGTTTCTTGAAGCAAAAAAATTATGCCAACAATTGCTCCAAATCACTGGACAATGTTAAATGAATTTTCACATGTGATGTTGTCAACGAGCAAATTTTTAAAAATTAGATGTCAAATTTGAATAAAATATAAGAAAAATACATGATATACTAAATAGTTGTTTCTAAACTCCTACAGATTTTCCAAAAATAAAAACAGACTGTTTTAAAATAGCAATATACTGATTGAATTATTGATTTGCTGTTATTTTGATGTAATTGAACAGACATAATACAACTGATATGAATAGCTTTGAATAAATCAATGTTTGAATTTGTGGCACAGAATGAATTTGAGTGTGAATTTTTGTGTATTTGCTTCAACTCGCTAATCCAATAGCGTGGTCTGCTGTAGTACAACTGCTGAACATTTACAGTACAGTCTGAGCACAACCCAACTTTTGAGCTGGCATTCTGCTGGCTTTGTCTTTTTCATAAAAACTTAATTTTGTAAAAGGATTATCATTAATAGTTGTGATTTATTTTTTGTAGTATTTGTCTTATTTTCTAAAATGCATTGAGGCTGGTTGCACAATTAGAATATGATGGTTTTGAAAACAATTTCCAACTTGCGCTTGAACTGTATTTTAACTTGCATATATATCCTAGATTATTTGCAATGTTATTTGTATGTACATGTATGCATCAAAGCGGCTTTTTTAAATCATACAATCATTTAACAAACGTGTCTAAAGAGGCTTGTCATAATTACTACTGCTGTATTAGGTTATCTGGTGAAAGGATAACTTTGAAAAAAAGGGTACAGCTCTGTTGGGATCATTGCTGCACACTGCTGCTGGCGCTTCTGGCTTAGGCAAATCATAGACTTCTATTCTATGTTTAACAGAACATAGTCAAGATTCCAAACTTTTTCAGCTGTGTAGAGAAGATTAACTGAACAAAGACTGGCACTGTAATAATCATAGAACATGTAGACATGAAAATGATGTTATAGTAGTGTTTGTTTTTAATGTAATTATAAAATGTGCTTGAGATGTACCATGGCTACCTTGAATTGGGAGGCTAATCTTCTAGAATAGGTGATTTTCTGTTCAACTGTGAGATCTTGCGAGTTGCATGAAAGACGCGCGTTGAACGTCTGCCGCAAAAATCGAACGATTTGATTTTGAACTAGAATTTCTTTATTTCATAGCTCACATCGGCCGGCTGATCTTCAACAGAGGAATATTACTTTCGAATACCCTCACTTAATCGAAATTGCCTATTGTCAAATGTAGATAGCACATTATTAAGCATGGAAATGTCCCCCCCAAAATACTTTCGCGTTTGTCGAATCCCACGCAATGTTTGACGCCACTGCGACACTATGACCTTTGTTTGTCCTGTTTTTGCGTTTGATTTCATGCATAACACGTGATTCTCACAGTGAACGGGAAATGGTCAATTGCGGTGGTTTCTTGCAATAACCTTGTGACATAAATTACCTCGCTGCTTATAAAAATGTACTGTACTTCTGGATGGTTACTCAAATGCCCACAATTCACAAGAGCCATGGTACAAATAAGTTCAACCGTGGCTGTTTGATAGCTACAGTGCATAACCATGTGATGTGCTTGTAATTATAAATGCCATTTCCATCTCTGTCCATAACATGTGTAAATTTTGAAGGAAAACTATATAACCATTATGTGTTTATTACTAGGAATGAGTACGCAAACAAGAACTACAGTACAGACTTTGTCTATCATCTATACAGTGAGGAGGGTAAAGGTATATTTACTGCACGGAAAAATGTACTCGGTCATATGCAGCAGGTATGAATTAACCTCTATTTAACTGTTATGTCCTGTAGAATTGTACTGAGTATACTATTATATTATTGTACAAGCATTGGCAATGAATGCTCCTTCCTTTGATGGGTAAATGCCCCTCAATGCTGCATGCCTCCTCCCTCCCTCCCTCCCTAGTTAATTATTCAGTTCTAGTCAGTCCTGGTGTAAAAAAAATCTGGTAAATGTCACCATGATCAATGAATGTAATGGATCAAACAGAATATTTACATTGTAAAGTTGCACTGAGTCTTTTTTCAACCTTTTCACCAACAGATGTTCTCGCCCAAATTTCTTTGCAATTTTTACCTTGTCAGAATCATAAGTGAGAAAGGTGAGGTATAGGAGGGGGAAGTTTTTGTCCGCAGCATCTGTTGTCGGTTATGTTAACTCTGGTTTTCTTGTATTGTTCAATATTTCTAGAAATGATAAAATTTGAGTCAATTTTCAGTTTGTACTCAAACAATTTGGCTATTTTTGTCCCAATCTTCTGAAAGAAAATGCAGACTATAAACAGGACTATTTTGTGATGAAAAGAGGGCACTGGTGGTGAAAAGGTTAAACATCCTTAACACATACTGTGGAATACTTTATTTTCGCTGGAATTAATTTTCGCTGAAAAGGCTTTTTGGGCGTTTTGTATGGAATTTATTTTCACTGATTTTTGATGAGTTTAATGTGAAATAAAAGAAAGAAAGTATATTCGCTGGATTTTATTTTCACGGAATCATCCCTTCAGCGAAAATAGCGAAAATAAATTCCAAGCGAAAATAAAGTATTCTACAGTAGTTTTCAAGTTAGTGTGTAAGCCTAACCTTTTGTACAAGAAGCTGTTCTGCATCCTGCTATTATAATTCCCTGCTTACTGTGAATGCACATAATATTAATATCCCAATCATAATAGCATGGCTGAGATTTTGACTTTCATTAAAATGCAGCATGACATTTCTCGTCGGCCCACTATGCGTGATTTGGCTTCCCAACACAAGGTGTTCTCCGCCTGTCAAGTGTCTTCGTTCTTTGATTATGTTTGTTTTGTCCATCTATGTAGTATACATGAGCTGATTGTCACCTAATATAAATCAGTGTTCATCTTTCCTGCTTCTATAACAAGACTATGTGCATTTATGTCATAGCTATTTGAGGAGTAACTTGTACCAAGGGGTTGAACGGGTTGAATACTAGTAGCTAGTATTTTTATTTTGATTTTTGATTTTTATAAATTCATGAATGGGCCAGGTAAGGGTGTCATCCTACTCACTAAATTGATGCGAAAAATACTGCAAATGCAATTATTTACTGGGTTTTATTTTCACAATTTTCGCTGATAAGTAAAATCCGCTAAATTAAGTCTACGTGAACATGTAAAATAACAATAAAACTAATTGTTTTTTTGACAAATTTGAAAAATTAAAACACAGTGAATATGCTCAAAACATCAAAATACTGAAATTAAATGTCAGTAAACATACATGTTTTTACAGTAGATATATTACCCTTGGTAGTATGGTGGAACAGCGCCCTCGCATGTCAGAATTTTTTTTACACTGGTCATACCGGGTATTTACTTTATTACATTCTACAATAAATTACTAAAATTGACAAATTATATTAGAGGCATGCATCCATTTTATAATTTTGAGGTCATTAATAAAAGCAATTAGTGTATAATTATACTGTAAAACCAAACCATATGTAAAATACAAACTATTCCAGTCTGTTATAGACCTGCCTATTATTGGCAGGGTTCAAGGGCGATGGCGTTACCCTGTGTTCTGTTTGATATGAGAATCATAGTGATGTATACAATGTGTGTAAAATACATTGTTTTCATGAAATTTGAAAATGCGCTGTGTCGATTACGCCCTTTCTTTTTTAGACAAGAGTTCATTTCAAGTACATGTACAATGAGAATGAATTGTGAATCTTGTAGACAATGTCAATTCACCTATCAGTACGAATCTTAAACATAAACCTTAATCTTAAATCTATCAAGTGTACTGTCTTTCAATACGAAGTGTAGCATGCTTTGTCTCCGTTGAAAAATCTCAAATGCTGTGTTATTTACAGTGAGTGCTATAATTGCAGCTACATGTAGGATTAGTTATTATATATATATCCCACACCTTGGTGTATTCCTTCATGTAATGTAAATCACATGGGTATTGGTTATATAAATACATGCATGTATATTGGTAGCTCACATGGTTGATATTGCAACAATCAGGTCAACTTTAAAGCGAGGGGGATGTTACCTGCGCCCGCCCGTGCAGGAATCGAGTCCCAAGCGATGATAACAACACATGCTAAGAACGCAAAGGCTCATGTGTAGACGCTTGTTTCTAAACATTGACATGCTATGGCCACCAAATACATGCGTAGGTGACAACGATTCTCCCCTTTTAGCAGTGTGCAGTACCACTAATGAAATTTCAAGATAGTTGCTG